CGTGTCGCATGCAACATTTGGGTCGCTACCTTGAAGCAAAATCATGTCTTGCGCATAACTTCGTTATTTGAAGTCGGATTTTAAAACTATTTAACAAAAATGATCACCATATTGAGACAATGTGTTGTGCACAATATTTGGGTTGTTTTTACACTTTTAACTTTGTCTGTGACATAACTCTGACACAACAAGAGGTATACCTTCCTGTGTCCAAAACCTATTCGGGGAGCATCACCCGGTTCAACCGGCTCTTGTTTCATACTGTTTTGGTGACACGTTTGCTTGTGTCCCTTGTTATTTTCTCGTCTACGGTAAGTATCTTCCCCATTGCCTCTAGTTTTTATTTCTTTGATTACCCCCCCTTTCTTCCGGTCTCCTGTCCCCTTCCCCTTTGTGGGCCTATTATTATTTTCTTTGAATTCCTAATCAGTTACAAATTATTTATCATTTAATGATTAACCTGTCCGTGCTCTGTCTTTGCCCTGTCCTGTTTTTGTTTTGGGTCCGCCTGGGCTCCTTGCCATTGGTTCTTGTTGCTGAGTCATATGGGGGTTGCGTTCATTCAACGCCGCCTTTCCTTGTTGATCTTGTTTATCATATTTTATTGTATATTGACATTTTATGTGAGCATATAGGCCTGATACTCATGTATATTTTGTCCTGTCTCTGTGACTTGGGGCAGGCCACGGTTTTGTTGTAGTGAAGAATAAATATTTTGAGTAGTGCATACTTGTCTTTTTACAGACCCCTCAATCCCAGGTCCAGAACTCACAGCAGAGTCAACGACCCCTTTGTTTCGTATGAACTGCGACACAGGTAAACTTACATAACAGGAACAACTATTACAAGCATCGAATTTGTTTTTAATTGTAAATATTAAAAATCTACGTAATAACAATTTGTCGATTAACATTTATAACACACACGCACATAAGCACGCATTCAAACACACGCACACACCCACACACACACACACATATATATACTGTTTTAATGTTTGCATTTCCTCAACCAGCGTCTTCTGTAGATCGTCGCATGTACTAGTATCTAACATTTGACTATTTATCCGATGGTTCATAATACGGAGGGAATGTTCTAAAACAAGAAATCAATTTTGCTGTTAATGCTTATAAAATGATGGCAAAAGATACTAAAATACTATACATAATCTAAAATACTTTACCTCAAATTTTAGATAATAAACACTTTAGATATGTATTTAACATCACAAATATCTAGAAGTATCTAACGGAACTAAAAAATACGTATTCTTGTATAAATAAATAAATAAATAAATAAACAGAGTGATATTCTGTCCTGTTAAATGTCAACTGTCTGTTAAATACGATAAAAGAATCGAGAAACGTCTAACCCTTATCATATATAAGTATTCAGTCGAATTGGACGTGTTCATTTTTTATGTTACTCATTAATAGTGTTGTATTTATTTAGCTATATTTTTAAGATTACCAAAGATGCACAACTTCCAAGATAATCAATATTCCTGTTAAATGTCACGATTTTTCACTCTTTTCAAGCAATTTTAGAAGTATACTTGATACAACATTTTGGAACGAATTTTGCAAAGGCAATAATTCTACAAATACTTAATAATTCCAGAAGAAAAAAGAAAACAGGTGTACTACATATTCCGACCAACATTACTCTAGGGGGTAAATGTTAACACAGTTTTCGAAAATCACTTTAAAGCTTATATGTATGTGAATACATACGTCTTACAAGTTATTCATCAAGATATATTTTTGTTGTACCAGCGTACGCTACTTTACTATAAGTGGGTATAAAACGTCAGTTTCGTCCTTCTGGCGAGAGTCACAAATTAATAATTGATATAAGACAGACATCAATATATCCGTTCCTATTGTATTAAGATTCCACGTAAATCATTATAACACGGTAAAAAAACCTGATGTAATACGATAGCTTAAATGTAAACATATATTATAACTTACCCCAGCGGGTATCTGAAAAAATTTAAGGATGTATTAACAGATCGAAACGAATCTAATACGTTTGAATACTTGTTGTATTTTGTGATATTGTAGAATTATAACCAAATTATGACATAATTGTGAGTAGACTGTGAGATTATATTAATCTGATCATTTGACAGTGAAATATATAATATTTGTTTTCACAGTCGCCAGATTATATCTGAATAGACATGAAAAGCAAATATTGTACATAAATTAATTTTTATACAAAATACGATAATTTGTAAATAATAAATAAAATATTGCCATAGGTAATAAAAACAATAGACTATATATTATATGAAATTATATGAAGAACAAATGATATCAACCAAAATACTTTTATTTTGTACATGATAATTGCAGACTGAAAATCGTTTAAGAAATAGTACTACCTAAAACACTCAAAAACTTCTGAAACAACTGTTGGAAAACATAAACTTAAAACTTGAAAGAAAGGCGGGGCAATATACGCCAGAATATGAACAAAAATAGTGTTTCAATAGAGGGAGAGACCCAGTCAAGAAAGTTGTCTAAAAACATTTTGTCTAAATTTTCCTTTTGATATTTAATGACGGGTTGGAGCATAATTGACCAGAAGTGTCTGATAAAAATTTTTTTATAGAGATCTTGGAATAGATGTTACCACGAAGAGATACGATATGTTTTTATATACATTAGTCTACATATAGTAAGTGACTTCCTGGACGGGACCAATTTTTAACATTAACATTTTAACATTAAATTATATAATTTATATATCATAATTTCAAGAAAGTACCCGGGGCTTGCTTAATTTGACCAAGGAAGGGCATGATTATTGTTAGTTATGTTGCGGTCCACAGAGCGATAAAACGTATCAAAAATTTAAGTTCTTGCAATGTGTCTCAAATGTGCATAACAATATAAACTTAACATGTTTTCGGGCGTATAAAATAGTTAGTTTAGCGAGATAAAAATGTTACAAAAAACATATTTCCACGCACTTTTTTCTTATAAAGAATAGTTAAATCAGCATATTTTTCACATTAGTGTTTAGTAGCCGCTTCATCCTGTGACTCAAACTTAAAAAAAATATTCCTGTTGAAGACAGATAAAAAAGGACAGAAAAACATAATCTTTTAAAATGTTCTAAACAACAAATTTAAGAATGTTGCAGGCTCGATTTAGTTGAATCTGAATCTGTTTAATAACATAAGATTGGCTGTATGTTCCCTGGACGGATAAGGCAAAGAAAAATATTTATCCCACGCCCTTTAGCACCGGTGTAAGGTAAATATAAAACTGATGAAAATCTCAATTTAGGAACATTCGCAGATGTGTTTATACAGCGGTTATCATGAAACGTTCTATGTGACTCTTTCGTTTTTACATTCTGTAAAGAGTGGCGTATGATCATCAAGTTTTGGTTTTATTTGTTAGTACGGATAAATAGAATGAACATTCTAAAACAAGATTGATACACTAGTTGATATATTCCGAAACTATTTTTGTCCTTGATGTTATGGAATTTCTCATTTAGCTGCAATTTCTTTCTACTTAGCTCACTTTCAGAACATGCAAGTGTAACTGTCTGCGCCGGATATACAATTCAAAGGATCTAGGTAAGTAATTTTGATGCTTACTATATTTCACGTGTCTGTTTGTTTTACTTCTTAGCAATATTATCTTCACCTGTATATTCAGTATGTTATAAAAAGTATTTCTTGAAATCTTGTTCCACAGCTAAAAGAGGGTGAGATTTTGACCCCTACAAATGTAGCGCTCAACCAAATACCTTGTCTGTGAAGAACTTTTTAAATTCCATACAATTAATATGTTTATAGGGAACAAAACGGCTATGATGATCCTTTTTCGCTAATTGAAATATTATACTTTAAATGAGAGCACAAATGATCGTGTTGCTGAAAATGCACATAAGAAAATAGCACGTTTTAAATTTCTTGCTTCAGTAATAACCTGTTCAATGTTTTTCTAGAATTTTAGTGTTGTTCCAGAACTAATATAAATGGTATTACTTGATATGGATGCACATATAGTTTTAAAAAGCATGAGCATAGTTAAACTCTACTTTTCTTGTAAGCATTGCTCAAATGAAACGTCTATTCTAGGGTCCTTGTTTTGAAAGCTGTAAAAAGTATACTCACAAAAGGTCTATTTCTTACTTTGAAACAGATCATATATATTAATCTTATGTTATATTGAAAAACAAATCATCTATATGGTTGTATTGACACTGGTTTTTCTTTTCTATAGGAAATTGGCAAAGTAAAATTCATGCCTATATTATATATCAACGACATAATAATTGCTTGTCTGTGATGATGATGATGGTGATAATGATGATGATTATGAAAACGCTATGAAAGGGTCAAATATACAAGAATTACAATTATCACTTTATTTTTCAGAAATATCATCCCAGGATCCGGTAAGAGAAAATGTATGATATTTGTTTGATTCTAGCTTGTGAACATACAACCACTGAAAGACAATCATGAATTATTCATAAGTATAGGATAAGTTAAGATAAGGTAGGATTTCTGTATCCCATTTTTGACAGCCTTTTTACATGCATTTCATTTCTAACAAAATAGTTTGATGAATATACAGGTTTACACAATGATTTGCCTTTTTACTAAATACTATAACAATTTATTTACAAAACCAAGGACGGTGCAAATTATACATTGGACCTATAATATTTTCTAGCTACAGCATTACATAATCATGTACAAGAATTATAAAATAAATATAATTCTACATCATTTCAGACATTCTAACATGTATGATAATGTCAGATCGAAAAGTTAGTAAAAATATGTAACAAATGCATGTGTTATAAAGAAAATATAATTCGATATTCTACATTTTAAATGCAAACGTAATTATAATTAATTGTATTCTATTCATTTTACACATATCAAACGAACAAATTAAACAATCAATATATTCATTATTAATCCACAAAACATATTCTTGCATAAGGTTTTTCAAAATGTATACTTACTGCTCTTCCAATTTACGTAGTCTGAAAAAATATAATTAAATTTATTATAGTTATTGTCATCAGACTTTGTGGTTAAGGATATAATGTTCACAGACAATATCAATGTATATTAAGATATCAATAATCGGTTACACACATTTAATTATTGCTTGAATTAACGTGCCTTAAAAATATTTCTTTCTTTTTCATTATATAATTATGTTTCCAAAAAGGACTTTCGTGTTACATATTTCTTTTTGCTTTGTACATCAAATTATAGCCAATATTATTCTTTTATAAATGTTTGATGATTTGCTTTAAAGTAATATAATGCTGTCGAAAGTTTTCTTTTTCATCTAAATACTGTAAAATTGAGCATTTCATATAACAGACGTTTATAAAAAAAACTATAGCCAAGATTTTACATTTTACAAATATGCTTGATGTACATATATACGCATAATGTCTTGCTCTTTCAATTACAATATCAAGTTGCTTTTATAAAAAGAAAGAGTGCAAAGTATATATTAGCTAAGTATATATTGGCTCTTCAGTTGTTACTCATTTCAGCAATAATATCATATGATCATGAACGGGAAAAATAAAATACAATCAGTCTAAATCATTTAAGAAATTCAGGTATGTAGGGTGACATTTGATCGCATAGTTTTATGTGGACCATTATATAAAACATTCAGCAATTATTCTCTTTACAACATCATATCTAACAATAAATTATAAAAAATAAATTACACTGTAAAATGCATCTCAAAGACGGATGTAAATTCTGATTATAATACATTCCACTTATTTTACACACATAAAACGAACCAATGAAACCATTTATATATATATATCAATAATTAATCCGTAAAATATATTCTTGCATACAGTTTAAAGTTTTTTTAAAAATAAATGTAATATATGTATACTTACCCTTCTTCTACTTGATGTCGTCTGAAACATTAAAAATATTTATAATCAATGACAAAAGACTAAGTGGTTAAGGAGATAATATTCACGTAAGAATGACGTAGGGAAGGGCATTCCAACAGTCAATCAATGAAGTATCTTAAGCTATCTATAGTCCAATACATTTTTTTTGTATTGCACGAATTAGCGTGTCTTAAAAAACTGTTACTAGTATATCTTGAATTATACTATGTATTATTATATCAATTATATTCGTACACGTTTGAAATATATCGAAGATAATAAACATTATTAAATACATAAGAAACTGAACAATGTACGGGATCTGCGGGAAGTGTTCTTTCTTTTTCTTGTTATTTTTTTTTTCAAAATGGACATTCGCGTTTCAATTTTTGTAGAAAAAAGCAATAGCTGATTGCTTTTCTTCCTAACTGTTTTTTTTGTTTTGCATTCAAGATTTTTATGCTACCAAAAAGATCCTTTGTTTTCTTCATAAAACTGTCAAAGTATGCATATTATATGACATCATTTTTACAACAAAATATATTTCCTTTTTTACAAAATATTTAGATGGACTTAATCGCTTTTTTTAAATTCTTCTCAATCATTTCATATATTCCTACATGTATGATAATGCGAAAGAAAAGTTCGTAAAGATAAATTAAAGTGTATACAATTGCTCTTCATATGTTAACTCATCTAACAACAACAAATGCATATGTTATCAAAAATATTGCTCTGTAAACTACATCTCAAATGCGAATGTATATTCTTACTTATATAATAGCATAAAATATGCTATTTTTCCCTATTTTGCCCATGTTATAACGGGACCAAAACCATGTGTTAACATAGTCACGCGCTCATGTTATAGCCCGGTTTCACCTATGCGCAATACATACAGGGCCCAGTAAACAAACAAAAACATAACGATTTTGCCTGTTGCCAAAGAGTAATGCGCTCTTGTTAAATTGAAATTATTGATACGAGGGCCACAATCGCATTACAGCGAGCAGCATTCAAGTAACTATGCCGGAAATACGGCGTGTTGACATCGCTGCTAATCTTGGTCGTCGCCCTTTCTAAGAAACGGACAGTTGTCAATGTAAACAAATACCTGTCATTCAGTTAACCCCCCCCCCCCTGTTAACTTACAAAACAAGACAACAAAATGAATATGAGACAATGTTGTTTTATTGATGTTTATATTGATAAATGCTCTTTATATTTTTTTGAGAGAATAATGTTTAGTGCCTGATTTTTTATATAAACTTGCGTGCTTGAAAAAAAAAAACGATTCTGATGTCACTTATCTTTTATCTACCGTCAATCTGAAATCATTCTAAGAATTTCTGAGGGTCTTGTTTTGTCTTGTGTAGAGGGTAGAGTAATGTAAAAAAATTCTTGAGACAATGAATCTCCAATGTCAAGCTTTGTTTGATCAATTAAAATTCTAAAAAAAATCGGTTTTGACAATTTCCAAAGTTGTTGGCCTTGGAAAAATATAACGCATACGTAAAACATGTAGAATTTGATAAATACCATCCAAGCACAAGAATTTCATGTAATTGTGTTTTGTATTAAATATACATCATGAATCTGTTTTAAAATTTTATGATATAATAGCGTCAACGCAAGTTTATTTCGTGTTATAAAGTCTGCAGAGTCCCTCAGAACTATTGGAGCCCTCGCCCTCCCGGGCTTCCTAGGGACTCTGCAGTCGTTATCACACGGAACAACGTACTTTAACACTATAATTATCTATATTAATTTTACACATATAAATTTAAGGTATGACCATCCTAACGGGCACAATAAGTAACTGAAAAATTGACAAAACAGGTCTGATATATATCTTAAAGGACACCTGTATACATGTATGCAAAATTTAAACAAATTTTACTGTAAGGAAATCAGGTTATGGCCACTTTTCTGAAGTATGGCCCTTCTACAATATCACCCTAATGTAAAATGTGTTCCCATTAATCTTTGGTAAGGAGCAAAACGTAACATTCAGCTAACAGTCCACATCTGCAAAATGTTTATTTCTGAGATATGTATAAAAATGTTATCCTTCCTTCAACAAGATTTAACAAGTGTTTGACAAATTTGACCCATAAAATGTTTGCCTGTTTTCAAAGTATTCCTTTTTTTTCGAAGATATACTTGATGATCTTGTCAAATTTTAAATAATTTTACTGTATAGTTTTGATATGCACTTCGAAAATATCAGGTACCATATTTGTTTAAGATTAAGCATTAATTAGCCAACAAATGCCTATATTAATTAAATAATTTAAATTAAACACTTTTTCCTCCCAAAAGGAATATGAGAGATGTATCAATAATGTTGAAAGATGAAAAAAGAAAGAAAAAATGTTGATCCGACTTGGGGTTTGAATCCATGGCCCTAAGTTTGCAGTACTGTCTATCTTAATACTTTTTTAAGTGGAGGTAATGCATTAGGATGGTCATAACTCAACAAATAAATTTGGCATTCTTGCATATCAACACTAAAAGCAGAGTTTTTTCTAACAAACTTTTTTAAACGTACCATTATAATTATGATAGTACTTTTGATTTTACCATGTAAATGTCTGTTGAAATCGTTATAATATTTGTTTTCAAAAATGACTTTCAATTTCAATGTTTTCTTGTGTGGGTGTATCTAAAATAAAAACAAGTTTCTCCTAATTGTTTTATGATTTGTTTTAAGATATTAATGATATGTTTTCCTTTTCATTAACATTCTGTCAAATTAAGCATTTTAAATGACATTTTTACCCGAAAACTATAGCCAAGATTTCCTTTCCAACAAAAATGATTTGATGTACACATACACATATAATATTTTGCTTTTCTAATTAAAATATTTTTTTACATAAAAAAGAAAGAATATATATATATGTTGCATTCTTTCTTTTATATATATATATATATATATATATATATATATGCACCTTATTTGTCACCCATTTCAGCAATAATATAATATGATCATGAACGTGATATATAAAATACAAATCTGTCAAAATTATTTCAGAAATACAAGCATGCAGGATGATATGTTATCACGTATTAGTTAACGATGAATAACAATATATAAAATTTTAGCAAATAGTCTCTTAACGACAATACATACAACTATAACATATGGATATTTTATAAATAATTTAATTCTGTAAAATGCATCTCAAAGAAGAGCATACTTCTCATAATACATTCCATTAATTTTATTTTATACACATAAATCGAACTAATGAAACCATCAATCTATCCACCATAAATCCGTAATAATAATATCTGTCATATGTTGCGGTTCGGACCGGAATATCCGTCCCGAGGGGACACGCCCATTGGGCGGTAACGAGGCTTGCCGAGTTACCGCCCATGGGCGGGTTCCCGAGGGACGGATATTCCGATCCGAACCGCAAACATATGTTAGATATTTTTTCTTGCATATTCTGCCATATTATTTCATATTAAAAATGGTTTACCTCAATATGATATATGTTCATGGAAATCAAAGTCATTTCATCCATAACTATTTTCTTACAATAGCGTATGAACTTACAAGTTAAATAACAACGGCGAAATGACGTCATCCTTAGCACATTTTCCCTTCTAAAACCACGTCATTTTAACGCGGTTTATCCATAAAGTGCGCTAAAATGACGTTGTTGTTTGGCACGCGACTCATCTGGCACCCCCCATGCCAGATGAAATTTCCGGCATGGGTAAAACTCACGGAAACGCCAGTCTGCTATGCAAGAAAACATATTCTTGCATATTTTTTTTTAAGTGTTTAAAATTGTTTTGTTATATATGTATACTTACTCTTCTTCCATTTGACGTTGTCTGAAACATGAAAGTAAATAGATTAAATGACATATAACTTAGTGGAGTTGTTATAGAGATAATATTCACTGAAGAATGACGTAGGGAAGGACATTCCAACAATAAATCAATGAATTATTTTTAAGCTATCAATTATCCAATACATTTTTGTTGTATTGCGCGAATTAACATGTTATAAAAACTTTTCCTAATAAGTTTAATTATGTCATGTATTATCAATTCAAATATATTCGTATAAGTTTAAAAATATCGAAAATAATAAATATGATTAAAGACATTAGAAAAACAACAATTTACAGAATCTGTAGGAATTGTTTTTTCTTTTTCATGATTTTTTAAAAAATGGACTTTTGTGTGGCATTTGTTTAGAAAAAAGCTATAGCCAATTTTCTTTTCTTCCTACTTGTATGACGCTTTGCATTCAAGATCTTTATGCTATTGAAAGTTTCCTTTTTCCTTCATAATACAGTTAAAATATGCATTTATATGCGTATCTATTTGATATAATGATATATAAAATGATTAAATCTATTTAGAAAAAGGTTTAAATCAAGTTAATTCATGCAATTCATAAAGATGTGTATTATGACAAACATAAAAATATTTCATTGATTTATTGTTGGTACGTCCTTCCATGCGCCACATTTTATTCTTAATCACGTAGTCTTAATTCATTAATTGTTCTGCAATTGTTCTCAAGATGAGTATCTTAGATAACAAATGCATAATATGTTATTAAAAACTACATCTTAAAGGTTTGTTTGTCATTAAAGTAGAAATAATAGGCTTACTTTAATACTTCTTCTTTATCCTTTAGTCTGAAAAGCATAATTATAATTATAGGTGAATTAATCAAATGACAGGGAAATATTATGTTATTGTATCTCGTTAGCAATCATGTCTTTTTATGATAAGAATAATTATAGTAGCGGCATTTAGCGGAATTTAGCAAAAATTAATTTCAAATGACGGGTATCGATCATGTAATGAATTAATTATTCTAAAAATATTGAATTTAAAAACCACCATTTAAGCATATAGTTCAATCAAATTGGGCAATCTGGATCTTCATATTGGACAGCAACGAGTTACTCATTTAAGAACATTATCCTTAAACATGTATTAACTTAACTTAAATTGTTAAACCTTTTCTTTTTAGTAAGAGACACATATTGTCAACTCTTTGAATAATTTAGGATGAATACGCTATCAAAATATTCAAAATATTTGATTTTCAAGTCAGTCCAATGTTATTGTATGGCGGTGAAATATGGGAACAGGTAATATACTGAAGATATGCACAATAATGCTTCAAATGTTTTCTTTATGTGCCAATATCTTCGTAATTTTTGTCGTTATGCTATGAATATATTGATTAACAAACGTATTGTCCAATTTCGGCTCATTATATTATTATGCACTTATATCAGTAAATAAAAAAGGCATATTATTGTAAAAAAGCTCTATGATTTCACTTCCTTCTGTACATAGATTAAGATTACGATGGCTAACGAGTGTGCCAAATCTCAAAGCCATATGTCAAGGGATTATCTGAGGTAGTACGTAAATTTTAAAGTAAATTGTAAAATATGATAAACCATATTAACAAAGAAATGCGGCGTTCAATGAAAGCACCCCAACACGATACAGCATTAAGGACTAGTGGCAAGGGGCCCAGGAAGACCCAAAACACAAAACTGGACAGGGCACAAGGCAGAGACCAGACAGTATAATCACTATAATAATACGTTAAAGAAAATAGTAGTAACTGACAAGGTAATCAACGGCAATTGATTGATTTATAAGCCAACAACGTTTAAGGTAAAGAGGAAGGAAACTTAATGTACGGGGAAGTGGAGGGGCTAAATCTAAAAAAAGTAAAACTAGGGGCAAAAAGTAAGATACTAACAATGGATGGTAAAATCAACAAGAAGGGGCACAAAAAAGGTCACCACTATGAAACCACAAAGACAAATCTGAATAACACAGAGGGCGCCACCTTGGAACGGTCAGCAGCATTAGTACTGATTTGGAGTATAAACTTCACTTTTACCCCCACCATGTTCCTGTTAACGAGACAGTGCAAATAAAATGAATCATCGCCACGTTGAATTCTAACAGTTGTTATGGTCACAAAAGGTGAATAAAGTAAAACAAACAGAAATGATCATACAAAAACATATAAAAGAAAACGCAATGACAAAGAAAGACATAACAACAAGAAAATTAACCAAGAAAATGGGCCCGGCGAAGCAAGACAGAAGACGAACATTCAAGACAATTCAGTCCCAAAGGGCTTTAAAAACTGTCCATCATAGAGTCTCCCACTTGGTCCGTCAGATGTAATCTAAAGAAGAAATCCGCTCGTTAAAGTTCTTTACGTTGCTACAATCTCTAGCGAATCTAATTAACTGAGATACATATACCCCGTAAGATGATGCATGCGGTACGTCTCCATCTAAATGTGGATAATTTACTATAGAAAATTATATATAAGTCATATATTCTATCATAGATTTTCGTGTAAATAGAATTGTTGCTGATAATAATATGAAGATCGAAAAACGATGTACTAAAATTTCAAGAATTTACGTTTTTGAGTTGTAGCTCATAAGGATAAATATAAAACACAATTTGATCCAAAACATATCTAAATTAACAATGTCATCAAGTTATCGGTATCTTAAAGTGTTATTTAATGCTAATATAACATGTTGTTGTGTATTTTCAGAGATACTCAAAATAAAGTCTCTTTCATAGAAATATAAAAACAAATCGGCGACCAGAGGTGCACAATTAGTACGCTTAGGAATTCCTGTGGTTTCTTTGAATTCTGTAAACCTGTCATTAATAGTGTCTAAAAGAAAAGAGAGTGCTGTACAATCTCCGTCACAGGCCAAAATAGTGTTATGTTTTACAAAGCAGTTTGTAATGAAAGATTTTTGAGAGTTTCATGCAAGTAAGGTAATGTCTTTTCCGTGCAAAGGTTTTCTGAATAAGGGAAATTAGTTTATCATTAATTAAATGGTGTGGCAGTTTAAAAGGTAGAAAAGTCGTATGTACTGACAGTTGAAGATTGATTCATAATTTTTCATTTATCCAAAGTTTCACCAGAATTCTTTATTTTTAAATTGATGTTCGCCGGTGTTTTCGGAGAATTTATCGCAATATCTAATTGCATGTGTTTAATGACAGTCAAACAAGACAATAAAACAGAAAGTTTACCTGTTGTGCTAGAGGTAGAATGAGCAATGAATCTGGGCTAGTAACTATTTTATGTAATTGTGGAATCCAATACATAATAATAGGTTTTAGTTATTTTTCATCGATTCGGATTTTTTTTAGACTGGAAATATTAGTAATATGATTGTTAAAAAATGTCTTTTTCAGAAGCAGTAGTTTTAGAATACGTATCAGAACTATTAAGTTCCTTATACAAAACGTTAATGAAATGGATACGTCATACAATAATAATATTATTAGCCATCTTGTCTGCAATTTTTTAGTGAAAAGCTAGATTATCCTTTTCCAGAAGTTTTTAAGTCTCGGTTTAGGTTGCAGAACATGTTCATTTCCACATAAAAATAATACTTGAATCAATAATTTTGAACATCTTACATTTCCATGTAACTAGAGCATTACTATCGACATTTTCACTGCGACACCACTTGATTGAAAAATCCTCAATAAATTCGGCCATCTGACTACGTCAAGCATAAAAATCAATTTCTAAAGGGATTTTTTTATTAAGATCATTTCCATTTTAATTTACGAATTTTGTTGCCTGCAATAATATCAAAATTACCAGTGATAATAAGGCTAAAATCTGAGTTACAGAATTAAGAAGTACAGCAGTCTCAAGAAGTTGATCAGATTGAATATCTACGTCAGAGACCACTATGTTTTAATTAAATATGATTTTTCTAACAGGTTTCCTGGAAATGAATCACTGACACGTTTATCATGAAAGGTAAATCGATGAAATCAATACCTTTATTTAGGATTGTAACTTGAAAGAAATGCCTCTTGTGTTCAGAAGTGTTGTCGATATGAGGTCTTAAGACGTGCCGAGCATTTGAATAAGATATGCTACTGTATATATTAGATCTGTTTGTATAACTATATTATCTGCCTCCGCGTCTATGATTGTCAGAGGATAGTGAAAGGAAAGTTAGACGTGATAAAATTGCACGTTTACCAGATTTTTCAAAGATATTATTTAAGTCGGTGACAGATAGGGTCATTTTGGATTTACGTTTGATGTTGCCATTTCTAGGTACTCCGTGAGATTGGGATTTACGTTAACGAATATTCAGAACAGAAAGTATACCAATCTCAACATCTTAAGAGATGCAACCTTGTTGAAAAAAATGTTGTCTTTTAGACCAAGTGGGAAGGAGTTTGATCCCTTTTAATTGTGCTGTCTAACTTTTACTTAAGAACTAGCCGAAGCATCGTTGTCATACATTATTTGCTCCACTTGCTGAATTGAAACATTCTTAAATGAATGACCATCTTAACGGAAATGGTGATATAAAAAAGTAAATTATGTGCGATTTCTCATTTTATAAAAATGTTCACGGGATGGAAAGTTCAGAGACCGTCCTGTCTGACCAACATTCTGAATGCCACACCCAGGGCTGTTTCAAGTTAAAACATAAACAAAATGAGTTGCCTTTCAGTCAATATCTGTAATAGATGTATATTAAATAGTCTCCCATTGACATAAGAGGTTAATGTGAACCTGTGCGAAAAAAGTTACGACATTTGCACCTTTTAGAAGTATACTTATTTATTGTCGAAAAGGGGCTTAATTTTGTCAGATTTTTGATAGAGTGATCCCCCCCCCTGTGTACAGGTTTGGGGTATGATGATGAACAAGTGTTTGAGGTTTAAAGCCTTAACGTCAATTCTAAGTCGAAAAAAGAGGAAGTTACTTCTTTAGTAATTTTTAAATAAGTATGTATATGACTGTTTATTGTAAAACGTATTTGTTATTTTTAAGAATTATCAAATTAACTTACTCTTTCCTCAATTCATCGAGTCTGAAACAAATATACTATAAATTATAAACATTTCTTACTTGTTCAACATAGTATGATACTAAATGGTAATAAATGTAAAGACTACATCGGCAATATGGTATATTAACGTTTTTAGATATACATGGAAACTTTATAAGTAAACGTTATAATAAAGTTTTATTCCATTACCTTTTCAACAAAACATATATACAATATCTAAGAAATATGAACATCTTACAGAAAGCAATTAGGTATGACCACCTTACGAGCAATATAAGTAAATGATAAATTGACAACATAGGTCAAATATATACCTTAAAGGACACATGTATGCAATATTTAAACAAACTTTACCGTATTGAAATTAAGGTATGGCCACTTTTCTGAAATAAGGAACCTTTAAATAATTTACAATTTCATTCTTATGAAAATTGTTATGCCCATTAAATTTTGGTAAGAAACAAAATGTAACATTTAGCTAACAATTAAGGAAAGCAAAATGACTGTTACTACTCAAAATGTATTGATCATTTTCTTTATTAGAGAGCTTGATTTAAAATATCCCTAAATATACCAAAATGAGTGCCTGTTTCTCTAAATTTCCTCAAACGTACAGTGGATAATCTCAAGAAATATAATGATACTTTGATTTTTTATTACTCTTTGAAAATGTCAGGTATCATATCTATTATTAGATTTAGCATTATTAAGCCTTATACCTATATTTATTAAAAAATAAAATTAAGTACATTTTCCTTTCCAAAAGGATTATGAGAGAAACATAAAACAATGATAAAAGAAATAAAAAAAAGTTGATCCTACTCGGGTTTGAACACACGGTCCTAAATTTCTATGTAGTTAACAAAGGTTCTAGTCTATTTGAATGCTTTTCAAAGAAGATGTAATGCATAAGAATGGTCATACCTTTACTGTTTCATATCTATAAAATAATATAGACTGTTCACACAAATAGCAACTTATTCACTTACGTTTTGTTCTCTAGTTTATGGGTTCTGAAACAAAAAGGTTTTAATTATTGACAAATGTAAAGTATGATAAATAAATGACACCTTTGTTACGGCTTACTAACATTAACGTTTAGAACTTTAGCAAACCGAGTCTACATGATTTTTAATGACGTTTTCGGCATTATAAAGGATTCCGTTTGTCTCTTTTTTGTGAATATAAAATTAAATTGATACGTTACGTATCGTTTCTTTTTGGACATACTTAGCGTTTGCAAATGCAATATCTTATTTACTTACTTCTGTTGCTCTTTTTGCAATCTAAAAAAAAAAATACCACAACCATATTCATCAGATGAAAAATAAGACTATAGATTACTAGATTAAACTAAAATTTAAACTAGCACTGCCATTGCCATGGCGTGAATACCCCTGCATACCACTTTGTCAGAATCAACAGTGGTCATTTAGAGCTCAAGGACATCCTCCCTGCCAAATCTGAGGGTAGTAAGCCAGTGCATTACTAAGTTATGTATTCTACATGTTTTAGTGGCAAATATCAAAGTGACCTTTACCTTTACCGACCTCAAAATTGAAACTGCCAGTGCTTGCCTTGAACCCCCCTCCATTCATGAAGCTTTGTCTGGGGTTGTTTTACGATGAATATATGAGAACATTATTATGCTTCAAATGTGAAAATGTCAAAATCAAAACACTTTGTACATTCTGAAGTATTTAAGCAGGCAAGTTTATTGTAGTAAAGCCCTGTGACCTTGACGTTTGACACAGTCACCTAAAATAAATAGGGGGCATATACTAGTCAACCAACCTCAATATCAAATATAAAGACTGTTGGCCAAAGCATTCTTAAGCAATTGAGCGGACAAGCTTTTGGAACTCAAGGCCCCTGTGACCTTGACCTTTGATCCAGTGATCACAAAGTCAGCAGGTGTCACTAAATGGTCGTTTCAAACGTCCCTGCAAAATTAACAGACTGCTGGTCAAAGGATTCTAATTGTATTAGGCGGACAATCCTTTTGAACTTCAGGCCATTGTGACCTTGACCTTTTACTGAATGACCGCAAAATCAATAGGGGTAACTTTATAATTATGTCTAATCTCATTGACAAATTAAGATGACTGTTGGTCAAAGAATTCTTAAGTTATTAGGTGGACACGCTGTTTGTAATCAAGGCCCCACGTGACCTTGACGTTTGACCTGGTGACCTCACAATCATTAGGCGCCATCTACTAATCATGACCAATCTCAATACTTATTTGGAAGACTGTGAGTCGAAGAATTCTTAGGTTATTAGGCGGACAAGCTTTTCTTAGTTAGGTTCCCTGTCACCTTGACCTTTAACCCTGTTACTTTAAAATAAATAGGAGAAATCTAACGATCATGACTAACCTCCATGCCAAATATGAAGACTGTGGGTCAAAGGATTCCACAGTTATTGGGAGGACAAGCTTTTTTAGTCAAGGATGTGACCTTGAACTCTGACCTCAAATCAATAGGGGTCAAATATTGAAAATGACCAATTTCAATATCAAATGTGAAGACTGTGGGTCAATGAAATCTTAAGTTTTTGGGTGGCCAGACGGACGGACAGACGGACAAGCTGATTCCAGTATACTCCCTTACAACTTTGTTGTGCGAGGCTATAAAGACGTTTTAATGCCCTTTCTTAAACAGAAATTATTATAGTTATTATTCTTTTGTCATATTTGTATATAAGTCACCTGAATCATCAATAACCCCAACGATTTACATAAATATCTATGATTATCATTATTATGTCTGTAACAGTCATCAAATAATATTTCTTTTTTCAGATATATGACTAACAAATGCAATGATATCCTTTGAATCAAACACAATTATTTTCCTCCCGGGAAAAACACAACTTTACAAAATGGCGACCTGTTACATTTCACAAAGCAAGGTCAAATATAAACTCGCACTAAGTAACGGAAATAAGGTCAGATGGTGTGATTTTTTTCTTCTACTAGAATTGTTTGCTTTTATTATTAAAACAAGCGATCATTCACATTTTTTGAATACAATAAAAAATATCACAGCCATTTAACGGTGATTGTCAAACTTATCTTTCAGCCAAAGACTTTTCGTATTTTATGAGAAATTCGACTAATAACGGATACCAGTGGGGAAAACAGATTTTAATATCAAAGTCGATATTAAGGAAATGTCGTTTTAATTTGTATTAAGCATAAAATAAAAAGGAAATTTGTTTGTTTGTTGTGTAGGATGTAATTTTATTTCATTTGTGAAAATAAATATAAGGTTTAAGGAAACAAATGTTTACATTTTATTATGTTGGACGAACTACGGGCCCGCCATATGTCAAATAACATAAATAAATCATATGAATAAAAATAAATAATACCTGCTTTCATAGTCCAGTTTTTGATTTTCTTTCTCCGTTTTCAGATATTTGTTGTTTTGTTCTTCCTTAAAGGATAAATAAAGTTTCTGTGGATACCATTGTTGATATAAATTGAAACAATGAACTTGTATTGCCAAACTAATTATGCACTGAGTTATGAAATGACATTCTAGATAACATGAGAGGCTTGTGAAATGAATATTTATGGCCTGGTGGCATACATTTCAGGTCTGTTTCAATGCGTTTTGAATTACAATTACTTTATTTTCATGAAATTCATTGACACATACTTGTTTAAAGTTATTTTTGACTTTGATTTTTAATTTTATATGGGGTTTCATTGACTTTGCGTGACAGCCCTAGTATATAGCAAAAACAAAAGGTATATGACACCTTAAAGATATTGGCCACCCTTTGAAATAAAAATACATTTTTATGATTTTATTTCATCGAAAATGAAATAGCTTAAAAGATTTTATATACAATGACTTTGAAATCTTGACTAAAGTACTAAATAGAGAAAGTAAGAATCCCTACAGTTGAAAATATTCAATCTGTAATTCTTCTGTACATACTCCTGTCTGTATTAGATATTTCTTGTGTGTGTATGTTGTTTTGTTGTTGTTTTTTTTGTTGTTTTTTTAAGAATTCATGTTAACACTTTGGCAGGCCAGCTCCCTATAGGCAATATGTACTACCTATCCTTCACATGACAAATCAAATAAAGTACAGGCCCGATCAACTAGGATACGATTAATTAGTATATTCAAACAAATGTCCGTAAGTTTACTCCATCAACAAAAAAGAGGTAAACTAACCTTTTGTATACGTGACTGTAACTCAGTTACATTTTTCTTAAGGTCTTCCGATATTGCTTTTGTCCTATCTAGTACGTCCTGCAGATCTTGTTTTTCTAGGCGTGTCATATGGAGCTCTTTCTCCATCTTTTTCTTTACCGACTCGACTTGAACAAATAACATAATTATCGAATTCATTAATGACATTTTTATAAGTGTTATCTAAAAAAATAATAACCAAAGCACTTAAAGAAGTGTTATAGGCAAGCCCTGACATTTTTGCCAGAAGTAATATGTTTGTTTAATCTCAGTAGTTTTTTTTTGACAAATTTAATGGGTAGACAATTAGCGTATTACACATTCTGATGTAAAATCGATGGTAAACATTATTCAAAGGATAAACTGTGTTATGCGAATGTGAATATATTTTTAATTACCAATTATCATTTCATGATGCATGCACAATAATTATATAATAGCATTAAGATAAATATTCTTCAAAGATAACATTGTCTTTTCTTTCAAACTCAAGTAATCGACCAATTGAAAAGTGGCAATATACAATTGTTTATGTGTAAAATGACGCCCTTATGATATCATTTGTCGTTACTTATTTCTCTTACTTTGTGTTATCTGGTCTGACTCTCCTGTTAACAAACGCCCTAAGCATTTGAAATCTTCTTTCAGCTCTTCCACATCTAAAGATGGCTGGTATCTAGCTGGTTTTTCCTTTCCATTTTTTGAAAGTATCTTAACGTCACTTGACATCTTCCCCATTGCTGCTTGCGTGTATTTCATGAAAATAAAAGCTTCACAGATTTGTTGACCTTGTTCTAATGTTTGAAGTCTCGCTTTCCGATTTTTCAGATCTGTTTGCATAATACGGATTTCTTTCAACAAAGTTTTAAATACATTTTTATCTGCGTCCTGTTTTCCAACAACTTCGGTTTTAATTTTATCATAAAGATTTTCGAAGAAGGTGACAATCTGATCTTTTTGTCGCTCAAGTTCATTACATGCTGTTTTGTTCATTTCATCGGACACCTGAAAATTTTGGTCAATCTTGACATAC